CGCAACGCCCTGTGCCCGCTGCCCCACCGCTTCCCCAACAAACCGCTGCCCTCCGCCCTTCCCGTGCACCTCGGTCGCTTTTCCAGATCCCCAGAGTGGCCGTCGAACCCAAACGGCCGTAATACCAGAATACGTGAAATAATAATCTGCGTGGAGTTCACTAGGGATGGCTGGCCAAGCCTAGAAATAAATGAAGCAATTTGTAATCCTTTCTAGAGATCCCTTAGCCAGTTTTTGTACCTTTCTTGGAAATGAGGCACACGTGTGCTTTGGCCATGGTTTCCACCTAATCGCCACCTGCGTATGGTATTGTTTTTTTTCCTGGGGAGTCTCTGTGGGATTTACACTAAATGCTATAAATTCCTGCCTTGAAAAAACTGAGCCCCTCCTGCGTAGCGAGGTATTCATTCAAGCCTTGCACTCCCTTGCCAAAGCCGGCAGATCCTGACATCAAATGACAGAGGAGATGAGCTGTTAAAACTGAGGAGAAGTTGCTTTTCCTTTGACGGGATTAAAGAAGAGGAAAGTGTCAGCAGAAAATTGCAGAGCGAAATCATACAGCCGCGGCTACAAGCTGGGAGAATGGTCTTTGCAACCGCAGTCTGAATAGATGCAATTTGGACAACGTTCCTCAAACTGAAGAAAAGTTTGTTGCAATAGTTGAGACCGAAATGAAGAATGTCTGTCCAAGAGTTTTTCCTGTGTGTATTAACACAAAAAGCCAAATGTTAATGATGTCATGCAGAAAGAATGACAAGATGTATCTATAACCTGATTCTGGAGGTCTAAGGAAATACCCAAGTCCACAAGGTCCACGCTGTTCCTGAGGCGAGCTCATGTAGTCATTCAGTGAGACCAGGAAAGAAATGGCAGGGAGGGTTGTCTAGGGGATCTTAAAAGCTCCACATAACTTGCCCTCGTGTTACGCAATGTCAGAAAAAGAGGATACAAAATTAATTGGAATAAAAGCATAGCAGGTTTCATGGCTACTATCTTTATAAATTATATATGAGGAATTTTCCTGTAAATGCCAGTCTTGGTGAGACAGAATATTTTGGTGGATGGACCTAGGTCTGCAAATAAAAAAATCTTGATTGCTGTTTTCAATAGCTTACTTCATGGCTGGCCAGGTCATTAAATTCTTTTCTATGTGACCAGTTTCCCCATGTGCCTGAGATACTGCTGGCTAGGCATCTTTGTGTTATAGTTAAGATGCTAAATGAAGTGCTAATTGTTATTACTCTTTGACGTCATTACTGTGGAATATACAGCCAACTCCTTATTGTTCTGTATAAAGGGTGGTTCGGGACTGTGCAAATAAGGGATAAAAAAAAGGATAGAGGATGCATTGGAGGAAGAGCCGTGGAAGGAGGGCAGAGATAATCAATCAGCTCCATTAAGTCAGTGCACAGAGTTGCTTCCTATCATTCCAGTTTCTGAATGGGTTATACGGCTGAATGCGGTTTTGGACCTGAGTGGACCCCGTGCATCCAAATGCATCAAAGCAAATAAACCTTCTGAAAACACTGAGGCATACAACACAGAGACAACCGCAGTCCTTTCCTTCCCAGTCCACCCAGTCCCTGGGGTTTCTGGCACCTGCTCCAGTTGTCTTTTGGACGTGAATATTAGGACTGTTTGCTCAAAAGGTGCCACAGTTACCAAACTAGAGTCTGCAGTCCTCTTTTCCTCTCCAAAATACTGTAGCACCAGCAACAGTTGACGCTTCTTCATGGTGTCCTTGAAAGGGATCATCTTTTGAGGAGTGAAGGAAGGCATTAATGCTAAATGATTTCTTGCTTATGCTCCATTGAAATTTAAAATAAAATTTACCTCTGATTTTATTTAGTGAGAGAAAATTTAGGCGGTGAATCGTTGCCTTTTCCACAAGGAGTGCCAGCTGTGATACTTAGGACTGTACTTTCTGTGGTGTGGACTGGAGCCGACTAGGAACAGGACTGTGACAATCAAGTGATTTTGCATATGCCACAAAAAGTCTTTAGATAATCATAATCTGGATCAAATTAGAACCAAAAATCTACTGGAAAAAGATCACATGGGACATCAGCAATCCCCTGAGCCAGCTGCATTCCTAAATAGCTTATTATAAAATCTACCTCTCTATGACAAAAAAAAATTAAACAATGCTATGTGCCACATATGAAAATGCATACATTTGTGTTCCTCCTCCCATTTCTGTGCCAGAAATTAACTAATCAAATACTCTCTTACCATGGCTGTGTCAACGTCAATCAATGGTGCTGTGGAACAAACAAAGATACTGTGGCACAAGAAGTTATTTAACAAAATTGGAATGGCAGCTGTACAAAAAATAAGGATGAATCAATGATTCCTAAATGGAAAAAGTCAAAATTAGTAGGGGGAAGAAAAATATTTTTGTACTTCCAAAAGAGCGTTATAAACAAAGGAGGAAAAAAAAAGCAAAAGTTCAAACTAGAATAAATGGAGCAGACAGGGATTTCACAAGCCTTTGTTGATTTTATGCATGCTTCTGAAATAGAAAAATCTCAAAAAAAGCAATTTCTTAAGTTTTGTTCAACTTGTAAAGAGGCAGATTTTGGTAGTTTTAGACACGTCAAATAGTGATATAATCACGTGAATGATCCTGTGTTTGGTACCATCATGAGCTATATTGTTAAAAAAAAGAGACTCGGCTATTTCCCAGGTTCCCAACTTGTGGTCAAGATATGGCTGATGTGTGCATTCGGGCCCAAGAACTAGAAAACACACCAGGTTCCACAGCTCAGACATTAACATTCACATGATAATTTTTTTTCCACTTTTTTTTCTGAACTAGGGTGTGGTTCTGTATTAATTGTTCTCACTCTGAAGTTCTCCAGGTTCAGAGGGCCTCTCTGAAACAGATACACTGCTTATTTCAGCAACAGGAAAACCTTGTTTAGATAAACTGTTTTTTTAAACAATACACTATATATGTGTCATTCTTACCTAAAAGTTTGACTTAGACAAGTCTAACTTCATCATTCATTGCCAGAAACATTCTACATTATCATCTGATTTCTTAGGAAAAAAACAAAACACACCCACTGGAACGCCTCCTTCCAGTCCCTGTGCCTTGCTCAAATCCGTTAAAATGATGCCAGGATTCTTTTGTCTTTTGTGTTTTTAAATGTTATGTAGCCTGTCTACAATGGAGATAAAGACATCAAAGACAATGTTTTTATACTGTTCCTTCACTCCTCTGTATTTGCTGAGAGGTGCCTTACTCTGAGAAGATTTTTTTCATTCCTCATCCTTGTTTTTCCAGACAGGAACCTGTGGAGTTAAACCACCTTTACAGACAAATACTCCAAACTACAGTTTAACCAGTAAACACA